TTATTGTTGAAAAATAATAACCCCCACAGCCTCCCCACCCCAAGGCCTTCCCCATACCATTGTCTGTGTCCATGGCTTATGCATTTATGCATATAAGTTAGCAACATGAGGACCTGGGGCTGGTCAAAAAATGTTCAGACTTAAGGGAAGATGATGGTTGGTGTGTTCCCTGTCCCAGAGTCACGTATGTAAGTTTGTCCTGGAATATTTCCCTGATCTAGGAAGGGCAGAGCACCTCTTGTGCAGGCCAGACTGAAGCCAGGAATTTCTGTCAGCTTTCTTGTGAGAGGGAAGTGCCAGTTAGGTTCACAGGAATGTGGAGGCATGTACCCTACCCAAAAGCTAGCCACAGACACTCCCTAATCATGCTGCTTCCTCAGCAGGGTCCAGATGCAGGGTGGGGTGCACTGGATTCCAGAGTGTGAGGCAAGCTGGATTCCTTAGAGGGGGTGAGGGGTATACCAGGGGGTGGGGTATTTACCTTTCACAAGGCTTCTGTTGTTGGGAGGGCCTTGTGCCTCCCAGGAAAAATGACTGCTGCAACAAAATCGGGGGTAAGTGGGGGGATAAGGATCCAGCACAGATATTCCAGCAGCCACTCCCCTGCAACTGTCTCAGGTGACTTCAGTACACACTGCCCTCCCTCTGCTGAATCCTAGGGTGAGTATCTGGGAATGGAAATCCTGTGCACCAGCCCTTTAAAAAAAGTGGCTATGTCTCCACAAGGTTCTGACTCTCCCTGGTGGATAGAAGCTCAGCTGCTGGATGGTTAGTGCCTGGCCCTTCCCGGCCCTGGCTGGCTGGGCTCCACGTCCAGGCCTCTCTCCTCTCAGGAAGAACCCCAGGCAGCTGACATAAACCTCCTCACCTTTGGCCTGCCTCTCCTGGGAGCTGGGCCAGCCCCTGTCGTGACCCTGCCCTTCACTGGGTGGTTTCTGCCCTTCCTTGTTTGAAAGTCTACTCTTCAGCCAGTCTTCAGTTGGTAATTCAGTGTGAATATTCCCCAATTTAGTTTTAAGTCCAGTTTGGTTCTGGGAGGAGGTGTGAGAAAGATCCACCTACTCTGCTGACATCAGTGTATGATCTTTTTCATGTATTGCAAGATCTGGTTTGCTAATATTTTGTTGAGGATTTTAATATCTATGTTCATCAGGTTTATTGGCCTATAATTTTCTTTCTTTGTAGTGTCTTTATCTGGTTTTGGAATTAGGATAATGCTGGCCTTGTAAAATGAGTTTGAGTTTCTTCCTTCTTGCTGAATTTTTTGTAATAGTTTGAGGACGATAGGTTTTAGTTCTTCTTTGAATGTTTAGTAAAATTCCCCTGTGAAGTCATTCATTCCATGACTTTTGTTTGTTGGGAGTTTTTTTATTTTATTACTGCTTATTTTCATTAGTTGTTATTGGCCTATTCAGGTTTTCTGATTCTTCCTGATTCAGTTTTTAAGATTGTATATTTCTAGGAGTTGATCCATGTCATTCAGGTTGTATAATTTGTTGGCATATAGTTGCTGGTAATATTTATAAAGAATTTTTGGTATTTGTGTGTGTGTCAGTGTTACTTCTTTCATTTTTGATTTTATTTATTTGTGTCCTCTCTCTTTTATGAACCAGTTGCTCATTTTTTGAAAGAACCATGTCTTGGTTTCTTTGATCTTTTGTATTTTTTTAAGATTCTATTTCATTTATCTCTGCTCTAATCATTATTACTTCCTTTCTTCTTCTCACTTTGGGCTTTGTTTGTTGTTCTTTTTACAGTTTTTTGAAGTGTAAAGTTAGATTGTTTACTTAAGATTTTCCTTGTTTTTTAGGTAGGCCTGTAATGCTATGAATTTTCCTTTTGGAACTGCTTTAGCTGTTTCCCATAGATTTGGGTTGTTGTGTTCTCATTTTTATTTGCTCCAAGGTATCTTTTGATTTCTTCCTTGATCTGATTGTTAGCCCATTCATTGTTTAGTAACACGTTACTTAGCTTCCATGTACTTGTGTGTTTTTCAGTTTTTCTGTTGTAATTGATTTCTAGTTTCATACCATTATGGTGAGAGAAGATGCTTGATAGTATTTCAATCTTCTTAAATTTATTGATACTTGTTTTGAGTACTAGTATGTGGCCTTAGAAAATGTTCTATGTGCACTTGAAAATAATGTATATTCTGCTGCTTTGGGTTAAAATGCTCTGAAGATATCAATTAAATTAATCTGATTGACTGTGTCATTTAAAACCATTGTTTCCTTGTTGATTTTTGACTAGAAGATCTATCCATTGATGTCAATGTAGTGTTAAAATCCCCTACTATGACTGTATTACTGTCCATCTCTCCCTTTATGTTTATCAAGATTAGTTTTATATATTTAGGTTCCGCTATGTTGGGTGCCTATATGTTTACGAGGGTTATATCTGCTTGTTAGATTGCTCCCTATATCAATATCATTATGTAATGTCCTTCTTTGTCTCTTATTATAGACTTTGTTTTGATGCCTATTTTGTCTGATATAAGTATTGCTATCCCAGCTTTTTTCCCCATTTCCATTTGCATGAAATATCTTTTTCCATCCATTTTCTTTGTAGTATCTTTCATTCTGAAGTGGGTCTCTTGTTGAAAGCATATATATGGGTCTTGCTTTCTTACCTATTTAGCTACCCTATATATTTTTTATTGGAGCATTTAAGCTATTTACATTTAAAGTGATTATAGATAGGTATGTATTTATTGCCATTTTATTCTTTATAACTATGTTCCTCTGCTTTTTTTCTCCTTTAAAAATTATTCTCCTTAATGGGTCATTGGGGAAATAAAGGGATATTTGTAATATTTTAAACAAAAACAAAAAAAAATTATTCTCCTTAAAGAAGACCCTTTAACATTTCTTGTAATACTGGTTTGGTGTTAATGAACTCCTTAACTTTTACTTGTATGGGAAGTTCTGTATTTCTCCTTCATTTTTATTTTATTAAAAAATTTTTTAAAATTTATCTTTATTGCTGGAAGTATTACAGATGACCCCTTTTTTTCTTCATTGATCCCATCCATCCCACATCTGCCCCACCCCCAGGCCTTCCCCATGCTATTGTTCATGTCCAGAGGTTATGCATATATGCATGTAAGTTCTTTGGTTAATCTCTCCCTACCCAAGTAGCTATTAAACCCATTTATGAAACTATACTAATTAAAATAGTTTGTGACTTCTCAGTATAACAAGAAGTCAATGCAACAGAATGGGGAATTAAAAATGCATCTAACTACTTATAGGTGTCAGATATATTATAAGAATGGCATTTCAAATAGGTTAGAAGAGGTGAGTGCTCCAGTGGTGCTGGGAAGATCTATATCTGAAAAAAATATTTAGCAGGAATGTTACATCCCTCCTTATAAAAACAGGTTCACTAAATATTTAAAGATTAAAATATGAAACCATAATGTAGAAGAAAACTAAGAAACAATTTTGTATAAACTTAGGGTGAGAAAAATCTTTAACCAAGACACAAAACCTAAAAGCCATAAAGAAAAAGATTAAAACAGTTTATTACATAAAAATTTAGAACTTCAGTATGGCAAATAAATATTCAACAAAAGTCAAAAGGAAAACTAAATGACAGAAGATTAAAGATGGCGGTGGACTGAGTGGAAGCTACACTGACACTCTCCTGGGACCATCGTGTTAGCAGAGGATGGATTTGAAATGTTTTTGGCAGTAAATCAAACAGGATTTGAGGATGATAAGAACAGATATGGAGAAAATGTGGGTTCTTCTTCAGACATATTAATTCTCAGTTTCTTATTAGACATCCAGGTGGAGGTGCCAAATAGTTGGGTGTATACATCCAGGGCTCAGGATAGAGGCCAGTATATGTGTATTATAATATGTTTGGGAGTCGCTGACAAGTGGGTGGTATTTAAAGCAATGGTGTTGGCTGAAATCATCAAAAGAGGTAATACAGATAAAGGAGAGGTACAGGAATAGTTCCTGGGATCAAGGTGAGAAGAGGACTCTATAAATGTGCTAGGCGGACTTAGAGAGCTGAGCATGCAGGAACCTGAATCTGGACTCACAAAGGAGGCAAAGCTACATATTTAAAATCTGTTCATACTCTGGTTTTTGCAGGTCATACTGGGTCTGGTCGTGAGAGAGGGGCTATCTCACTCCATAACTTAGGTCTAAACCTAGAACATCTGAGAGATGGAGATGGAATTAGAGGGATGCCTGTCAGGACCAAAAATAAATTCTTAGTCATTTGAAACACTCCAACACTTTTTGTTATTAGATATACATTATCCTAAATATACATTTAATATAATATTTATTTAACTAAGAAAAAAGGTGAATATTTTACTATAGAAACCTTTGAGTATATTTTGTTTTTCCCAAAATTAATGATGCTAAATGTATATTTAAATTCTAAGATAGAATATATCTCATAACTAGTTGACTGATTTGAAAGGTTTAAGAAGTGCTTCAAAAACAAGTTTGAAAAATTATGTGATTTTTTATGTATAAATGATTTCTTTGGTTTCAAGTAAATGATATCCACCTTTTTTTTTTTTTTTCAATTTCTGTCATCCTTAAGTTCAAAATATCATCTCTAAACATATTTTTGGAAAAATAAGTTTTACAACATTGGGCATAATATAACTTGAAAAAGTCATGCTGTTCTGTTTTTCTGGATGGTTATCCGAACCTGAACTCTGGGGCGGGATCCTAACTAATGAATTATGAAAATGGTGCATGTCATGCGCCTTGCCTTGTGATTGTGCTTTTGGTTGTCTATGACTTGTTAATTATTTGGAAATGTCTCACCCATTTGTTCTAGAAAAGCATTTTGTTTTTTGCATGTGTTCCCCTTTGCCATCTTCAAGCATTTGGGAAATGGAAATAGGGAAGCAGTAGCTTCTTAGAAAAACTATAGATGAATGGAACAGGAACTGCAAAATTAGCAAAAAGTAACAGGAACTGTTGATCTTGTATATTATTGAGTTTGCTTATTTTTTTCTCCTTTGCTAGGAGACCTGTTATGATGATGTGTGTAGTGCTCACCACACTCCCCAGCTTCAGCTTTTCTATAGCAGTGACCGAGGTATGGAATTTTCATTTCTTCTGCTGCAAGATTTCGAGATTTTAAAATTTCCTGTTATTGGGATTTGATGGAGTGGTGTGCCCAACACACTTCTTAAATTTTATTTTATCCAGTCTTCTTCCAAAGTGCAATTTATATATAAAGTACTAAGGTCATTGTTATCTCTGAGATTATGGAGGAAAGTCTAGCAGCCAATTAAAAGGAAAGATTACTTCTGTGTTTAGGTATGAGAAGCAGGAATATTATTTCAAAATAATTTTTAAAAGCAAGGAATTTGGAAGTAGATCCATGTTTGTCTCTTCTAACCTGATGTTTATCATGATCATACTCAATTCTAAAGGAACAGAACAATATTCCAGTGAACAAACACTCACACTCTGAGACCTTTGATAATATATCAATTAACAAATAATTTGCACATGATACTTATTTGAAAATAACTTTATGTTTTGACTAAATGAAGCTTTAAAAAGTCTCTAATGGATGGATGTCTGCAGTGCAGGGATATTATAGGCAGGACTTTCAGGCTGTAGAATTTATTGTGCTAGGAGTTCAAAGAAGAATGCCCTACTAATCTTATTAATTTGTAAGGTGCTGCAAAAGATAGAATTTTCACTTCTCCAAGGTGCAGGACGAAAATTACTTTGTGGTATTTCATGTATATATTGAGTAGATATCATTAAGGAAATCTGACAGTCTCCCATCATCAGAAATTTACTGACAGTAGAAAGAAAAATAGGCAACTAGATTAAGTGTAAGTGCTGTGAGAGAGGTGAGTACTGGGATAATTTTTCACTGAAGTTTAATACACAAACAAAAAAGTGCATAAAACATGAATATACACTGTTAATGTGATACCACAAAGCAAACCTCTGTGTAAACACTAACCAAGTCAAAAAATAAAGCTTTGCCAGCTGCCTAAAGGCCACCCCATGTTCCTTGCAATGATTACCGCCTCCCCAAAGGTAGCTCTACCTTAACTTCTAATACTATACATTAATTCATCTATACTGGAACCTTTTATAAAGGGAAATAAAATTATCTATCTATCATCTATCTATCTATTGATCTATCTATCAACTTGTGTTTGGCATCTTTTATTCAAAAATATAGTTCATTCATGTTTTGTGTATAACAATAGTCCATAAATTTCCATTCTTGTGGAGTCATTTTATGAATTTATCACAATTTGTTTTTTAGTTCTACCTTTGATGGCCAGTTCAGTTGTTTCCAGTTTTGGCTATTATAAATAATGCTGCTGTGAGCATCCTTAAATTTGTCTCTTGGTGCACATGTGCAAACATTTTAGTTGGTTAAATATGTACGAGTAGAATGGATGGGTCATAAGATATCCAAATGTTCAATTGTAACAGATAATGCCACTTTTCCAAAGAGATCATAGCAGTTTAGGCTTCCACTGAGAGAGGGTGAGCATTTATGTTGCTCCATATCCTCCTTAGCACTTGCATTGCAAGTCTTTATATTTTAGCCATTCTGATGGATATATTCTTGAATCTCACTGTAGTTTTAAATTACATTTTCCCAATAATGAATGAGATTGAGAATTTTTTCTTGTCCATTTTTTTCTATTGTGTTGCTTATCTTTTTAAAATTGATTTGGAAAAATGATTTATATATTCAGAGTTAAAGCCCTTTGTTGATTATACGTATTGCAAATATGTTCACATTCTGTGACTTAATACTCTTAATAGTATCTTTTGATAAAGAAATGTTCTTAATTTAAAAATAGCCCAATTTATGAGTTTCTTTCCTTTATGGATAGTGCTTCTGGTAACTTTTTTTAGAAGATTTTGTGACTCTGAATTTTGAGGTTCTGAAGATCTTCTCCTATATTACATTTTGGGTCCTATATTCTTTTACCATTCTCTTTTAGATTCACAATCCATCTGGAGCTAATTTTAGTACATCTTGTACTATAAGGAGGCAAGTTCTATTTATTTTTTCCAAATAACATCCAATGGACATACATCATTTATTAAAAAGTCTGTTTTTCTACATCTCTCTGTAGTGTTATAAATCAGGTATATATATACATGGTCTATTTTTGAATTTTCTGTTCTGTCCCATTACTTACTTTTCTATTCCCATGCCAAAACCACACTGACTTAGTTCCTGTAGCTTTATAATAGCTCTTTATATCCAGAAGAGTAAATCTTCAGAGCCTTTTCTTTTTCATCTTGCCCTTTATATTTCTATATACATTTAAAAAATGTTTTCATTGATTTCAGAGAGAGGAAGGGAAAGAGAGAGATAGAAACATCAATGATAAGAGAGAATCATCAATTGGCTGCCTCCTGCACTCCCCCCTGCTGGTGATTGAGCCCACAACTGGAGCATGTGCCCTGGCCAGAAATCAAACTGTGACCTCTAGGTTCGTGGGTCAATGCTCAACCTCTGAGCCATGCCAGGCAGGGCTCTATATACACTTTAGAATCAGCTTCTCATTTTCCATAAAACTTGGCATTTTGATTAAAATTGCATTGAATGATATCTTTTTAAAAATATTATTTTATCTTTGTTATTGGTATGTAAAAGTAATTCATTTTGGGGGGGTTTTCTTCATATGCACTCACATAGTCTATGAATAATGATATTTTTGTTTTTCTTTCTTGCCAAATTTTATACTGTTTATTTCTTCATCTTGCCTTATCACACTGGCTAGAAGCTCTAGTGCAATGTTGACTAGAAATGATCATGGTGGAATTTTTGTTTTATTCCTGATCTCAGAGGGAAAACTCTCAACATATCACCATTAATATGATGCTTGCCATAGTTTTTTTTTTTTTTTCTTGTTTTGTTTTTTTTTGTGTATAGATACCCCAATCAGATGAAGAAAGTGCCCCAAAGCCTAGCTGGGTTTACTGGGGCTCACCCTTCTTGGAAAACCCTAAACTCTAATACTTGTCCCCCTAGCTCTTAGAGCTAGGACTTTCAGAGTCTGTGTTTAGCAGCAGGACTGGAAGGAATTGCCCATTCCACCACTACCAGGAGCCTGCTGTTATATTATCTTGAACTGAAAGCTCTTCCCTTGATATAAATCCTTATTACATCTATAGAAATGATTCAAAACCTTCTGGGGGTGAATATTTGAGAAGCTGAAAATCAAGCTTTTAGTCTTTTAATAAATGTATAGCACTGCTTTCAGATAATTAAAAGAATTTTTTAAAAAAGAAAGCATCAAAATTTAACACTTCTAAATGGTTTTCTGAAAACAGGTTCAAAAGAGTATTAATGGTTCTGCTAATAACTTACCTGACACCTTGCCTGACCTGCCAGTCTCTCTGGTTCTGACATCCTTGATCGTGGTTGACATTATTGAAAAACTCAGAACATATCCTCTTAGAGGGAAGCAAAAGAGTAAGTATTGTTTTAAATATAATTTTTTTAAAAGTTTGACATATTGTTCACTTTTCTGCCACCCTGTTATCTATTGACATGTTTAATGCTAACTTCTTAGAGCTAACATTACAGATAGAAGATTACAAGAGCAGATATCTAAATGTAATTATTTTTAAATGTACTTTGATAGCTAGAGAATTATTCTTATTTCTAATTTCCATTTTGGTTGTATTGATAAATGAATAAAGTTACCAAATATTTAATAACACAAATTTAATGTTTAGCAAGAAAATTATCTGAGTCAATTATTATAGATTTGTATTTTTAGGAACTCTCTCTTTTTTTTTTTAAATTTTATTTTTGTTTAAAATATTACAGATGTCCCTTTTTCTCCCCAATAGGAACTCTCTTAAAACTTAAATTTAGCCCTGGCCAGTGTGGCTCAGTTGGTTGGGCGTCATCCCATGCACCAAAAGGTTGCCAGTTTGATTCCAGGTCAGGCCACATGCCCAGGTTGCAGGCTTGATCTTGGTAGGGTGCATGAAGGAAGCAGCCCATTGATGTTTTGCTCTCATATCGATGTTTCTTGCTCTCTCCCTCTCCAAAATATTCAATAAAAAAATCTTTTAAAAAACCAAAAACTTTATGTTTAAATGAATATATAAAGAGTTTAGTTTAGATCATTTTGATACAGGAATTAATATGACTAATGCAGTTATGTCCTAGAGGATTGTTTTTAATGGTGGATTGTCAAAAAGCTAGAGATCACACTAAAAAAATGACATTCCTCTAAAGGGATCCGTCAAAACTAAATAAGGGTTGGTATCTCTTTTTTATTTTTTTAAGCTATTTTGTTAATTGAATATTTTGTTTGGTCAGTACTAAATTTCCTCAACTTTCATTGAATTTTCTGTGATAGTATCTGTGTTTAATTCACAGTATTTGTATGCTGCAGTTATTATATGGTTAAGATTTTGTATCTGAAATGAGTGGGTTTTGTCTAATTACTTCCTGATGGACTGGTTAGGGTAAATTGAGTGAGTCATAGGAGAATACTTTGGGGTAAGAGGCATGACTACTACAGTCAGGAAGGAAAAGACCAGAGAATCATTTTATGGGTTATGAGCCACCACCCTTCCAGTCAGTCGCTCTTGCTCCTCAAACTGAAAAGCAAAACTGAGGTGGAGGTCACCAGGAAATCTGACACTCTGAGCTTTATATCTTGCACTTTGTCCTTTGATGGGAGGTGATGAACTGTTATGTTTAACACACACATGTGACACGTTAGATAAGATGACAGCCAGTGGCCATCTGTTGAGGAAAAGGTACTCCCAAGTTGCATCTGTCCTTCACGGTCAAGTATATATTGTTTTCGCTGCTTGTTTGGGCTTGTTTCTATGTATGAAGTAGATCTAGCCCTCTCAGTCTTTTGGAGAGTCTGTAGTGCAGGCCAATGTCAGAAGTTGTTTGTGACTGGCCTTGAGTCCCCTGTTTGAAGTTTTCCGCACCCCATAGCTTGTGGTTCGCTCTGCTGGACCTGGGTGTGCTTGGACAGGACCAAGATGCACACCCAGGTCTGCTTTTACCAGGTCCTGGGTCCAGAAGCAAATCAGGCAAAGACTCAAAGCACCCAGAGGCTGCTGTTCAGTCTCCTAATGAGCCTCAGGCTGCAGAAACTCCCCAAGGATGGGGCCAATGATTGTTATCAGTTTCTTAACAACTTCAGGCTGTAGAAACTCCACAGGGTGGGCAAAAGGTTTTCCAGCAGGGTGGGGCAGTTGCTTCCCCCAAAGCAGAAGCTGCTTGGAAGGTAAATGTCTGCCTCTGCAGTATGGGGGAGTGACTCTGCTCCACAGGAATCCAGAGGGGTGCCCTCTGAGCTCCATTCCCTCTGCCAGCATCCTTGGATTCTCCTCACACAGCTCCAGTCCTCTTTGCCCTCCCTGTGCTGGAGCCCAAGGTGAGTGGCTGCGCATGAAACTCTGTGCCTTGGCCCTTTAAGAGGGTGCCTGCATTTCCAGCTGTCTCTCCCTGGCAGATAGAAACCTGCCTGCTTTCCACAGCCAGATGTTATGTGAGCACCTTTCTCAGTTCTGGTGCTCTGGGCTGGCAAGCCCCGATTGGGGTTTAGACTCCAGGGTTCTCGGTGGGAACCCCCCAGCTGAGATCTCCCTCCTGACCTTCAGCTGCTGCCTGAGGGAGCCCAGCCAGCCCTCTCGCCTCTGCACTTCATACCAGTCTCTGTGCGGTCTCCACTTTTCCTCCCTGGTTATGAGGGTGCTCTCCAGCTCGCCTTCAGTTGAGTTGATTATTCAGGATGGTTTTTCTATATTTTAGTTGTAATTTCAGTTTGGTCCTGGGAGGCTATCAGTGTAGCTTCCACTCAAGCCACTGCCATCTTGGAATCTTATAATATCTGTTTTAATAGCGCCACCATTTAATAAACATCACGCTTTAAAAAACTAGCATTCACTCAAAATACCTTTGTAAATATTAATTATATATGCATCTAATTTTTATGCAAACTTTGAACTCAAATAGTGTCCAATACTTATTTTAACAGGCATACTAATAAATTGAATTATGTGAATTTTGAATCCATGGGAAATTCTCATTATCCTCTGGAACTTAAATTAATACATAAATTCATTAACATATAAATTGTAATACATAAATCTGAAAGTAAGCAAGTATGCTGTAAATATGGTTTCACTGCATGTGGTACTTCAGAATCAAAGAGGTAGGGAAGGGTGGGGGACAAACAGGTCCAGAATAATTTGGCTCCCTTCAGGCTCGTAGCAGTGTTGACTGATACGAGATGAAACTAAGGTGGTCTACAACGCTGGGACACTCTTGCGCTATCCTAACCATCTCAAGTCCAAGCTACCAAAGTTTGGTCATCACGTAGCTTTTCCTTTTCTAAATTTTAAAATAAAAGTTATTCTTGCTCAGTAGGTTGGAGCATTATCCTCATACACCAAAAAGGTTGTGGGTTTGATTCCAGTCAGGGCACACACCTAGGTTGCGGGTTCGATCCTGGTTGGGGCACCTGGGCAACAGATCAGTGTTTCTCACATTGATGTTTTTTTCTCTCTCCCTTCCTCTCTCTCTAAAATCAATAAAAAATTCCTTGGGTGAGGATTTAAAAAAATAATAATAAAATAAAAGTTATTCTTTACAGGAAATATGCTTATGCTTAAAGCAGTCTCCACTGGACCAAGGAATCCTTTCTGTTCACTTCCTATAACCAGTTGAAATACTTTAGTATCAAGTGATTACTATGCCATAACCCCTAAGGGCATCATTGCCTGTAGCCTGAGCCTCACATAGGAATGTTTTCTGGTACATAGATTTCTGAGGCATGGCACTGTCACACAATACATAGTCTCTAATAACGTTTCGTTCAATGTTGTAAAATTGGTTTTGCTATATGTTGTTTTGCTTAAAGTCACAGAACAATGACGGTGAGGATGTACTATAATGTGAAGCCCAGTCTTGTAAAAAAAATAAGAAGAATGTAATATATAGACTGAATGTCCCCAGCTTTTAGTAGTGTCTGTGTACAAATGAGCGTACCTTAACATTTCCATCTGAATTTTGCTAGTTCTTTCGGCCTACTATTGGCTGGCCTCCATTTCTCTTCCTCTCCTATTGTTCCCTCCTCTTTTTAAACCAGATGCAAAGTGAGTCTCCTGTGCTCTCACTTGTTGTCTAGGCTGTTGACTAACCCATTGCTACTGCTTTCCTCTCAGTCGTCATTCTTATGCACAGACAATTTGGCATGCTATTTTCCCCACCACTCCTGCTCAACTCTCTGCTCAAAACACTTAATCTACTTGCATTTGGGAGGTTGCCTGGTATTCTGCTGGGGCTTTACACTGATGACCTTTCCTCTGCAAGTTGGATACTGACATTCTTCCACTGAGTCCTATTTTTCTAGAGAGGCCCTATCAGAGTAATGGAATAGCTATTTTCATTAGGAAACATACGCCTTTTATCCCCAGTGTGCTCATGTACCAACAGATTGGCTGGGCTTTAATGATTTCAAGGAATGGCCATTTGACTCCCCTGGAAACCACCATTTCCCCTCCTGTCACTAGATCTTGTGGCTTCTTTTTTTCCCCACGGGGTCTCTCATAAATTTTCCTTACATAAGGTTTCCCTATATTGTCTGAACCCCAAATCAGGCTCACCTTCAGATTTCCTTCCCTGCCCCCACCTAGACTCCTTAACCCCTATTTAAACCAATGAATGCAAACAGACACATAAACAAGTCCATGGGTAGGGTGCACATTTTTAGTCCCACCTGTAGGACTCATTTGAATAAAATGCACCCTGCTTGGGCACCATGTTGTAAGTGGTATAACAGAGTATATCAGTTCAAATACTTTGGGGCCACAGATGAAGGAAAGCTTTATCTTATCCAAGGGGTTAAGTGTACATGTTTTGGTAGTAAAAATAACGTTAGCTGGATTTCACACCCTGAATTGACAAACCTTGCTGGAATGGAAGTTGCCTTCTTAACACGAGCTATTGTTTGTATCCAAATGGTCATTTTTGGAAATTTACAAAGCTACTTCAAGAGCTACTCTGAAAACTTTTGGATGCCCAATTCCTACTGGAACCAGACCAACACAATTTTTGTTTGTCTAGAAGTTAGTATTTTATGTAAGATTTCATTTGAAAAATGATTCTTCTGCTAATGATCGAAAGCCATTAATCTAGGGCCTCATTTAGAGCCATCGGCTGTATCTATTTCTAGGGCGGTACTATAACTCAGGTAGCCAATTCTCTACCTCTCTAGCTGCTGGCTCCCTGGGAATCAGGACACTGCACACCTAGGATAAAGTATGCCCCTGTCCAAAGTCTTGTGACTGCTGCTGCTCTGGGATACAATACAACACAACACAACACAACACAACACAACACAACACAACACAATATACCATAATACATAATACAAAACACAGTATAGTGCAGCTTTGCAGGTGGAGCAGGCCCATCCTGGTGGAGTACAC